GGTCCTCAGAGAGGCACAGACCCAGCTGGGTTTCCATTTGATGACATCTTGACCATGGCCAATCCGCCGCTCATTGATGATGCCTATGCGGTACAGACAGGAGGGCAGAGCACAGCACCAGGGACACTTAGCAAGTACAGGGGTTCTAGGCCCCAGGCTGGGGCTTGGGAACCCAATAATGGGACCCTATAATGTGATTAGAAGGAGAGAAACTAATAAATAATACTGGCAAGGGTGAGGCAAGACAAGCCCAAGTTTTCAAAGGGGATTCAGATGTCATTCTGGCACATAAGGTGAGGGTCAGACAGGCAACAGGAGTAACAGCCAGGACAACGTGCCATTCAAAATAGCCGAGAAAGTTCCTTAATAATCCGCATGCTAGTGTTAGGATCATCAAGGATGCTTTAAAAAAAAATACATGGGCTTCCCTGGTGGCGCAGTGGACAAGAATCTGCCTGCCAATGCAGGGGACACGGGTTCGATCCCTGGTCCGGGAAGATCCCACATGCCGCAGAGCAACTAAGCCCATGTAGGCGCTACTGAGCCTGTACTCTAGAGCCCGAGCTCCGCTACTGCAATGAGAAGCCCGCGCACTGCAACGAAGAGTAGCCTCCGCTCGCCGCAACTAGAGAAAGCCCGCGTGCAGCAATGAAGACCCAACACAGCCAAAAAAAAAAAAAAAAAATACAGATGGGGGAAGAGGCAGACCTAGAGATATTGATTTCATTAGTCTGGGGTGGAGGGTGCAGGCAGTAGAGAGGAGGGGTATGGACATGTATTTCTAAAATAATTCCCCAAGTAGTTTTACTGTAATTTGCTTCCAAAGGTTGAAAACCATTGGCCTAGACAGTGGTTCTCAGTCTATTTTTGGAGGAGTGGGAGGCAGAAAAGGCATCTAGGAAGCATTTCCCCATTGTCCCTGCTGCCCCCTCTGTCACCATCTTAGTGAAGGGGCTGTGCCTGTAGTTTGATTCTGATATTCCCACCGGGCCACGGAAAGCCACTGGTGGGGTGGAGCTCAACAGCCTGCATTAACATTCTTATTATGTAATATTAGATTCACACCAAAGAATAAGCATAACTTATGAGTAAGCTAAGTAGGATAATGATAAAAGACCCCCGTGACCCAAGTGAAATCCTAGACCTTTATTAACACAGTTGGTGTCACTGGCTCTCCTCCCTCCCCTCCTGCCCCTGCCTTCCCACAGGAGATAACCCCCTTCCTCCATGGGGGCATTTTTAACAAGCAGGGCGTCCTGGCATCTCTGGAGACCAGGTTCTGGGCCTCTGGGAGGGAGGGGCCTGCAGGTTGGAGGCGGGGAGGAGGCGGGGAGGAGGATGGAGTGCCCGGGCTGTGAGCAAGGGGGGCAGAGGCAGGGGAGCCAGGCAGAGCGTGCCCCAGCCTCTAACAGAAGCAGAGGCGGGCAAAGCGTGCGTTAAAGAAGCGCTAGAGAAACCCCTTCAGACCCAGTACAATGGAGACCCAGATGCTCTCAGAAAAGCCAGGCTTTCAACGGTTTTGTTTTCCCAGCCCTGGCTGCTGCTGCCCAATTGACAGGCAGGCCATAGCTCAGGGGGTGCAGAGTTCAAGGCCCTTTGGATCTGTCAGACGGGAACAAAAAGGCGCAACTTGATCTCTCTTTCTCTATAGGCTAATCACAAGGGTGAGCTTTTCCTTGGGGTTATTATTCTATTATAAACCCAGATGCTTAAAGCAGATCAACCGTTACCTTTCTTAGAAGGTGCAAAGTAGGTCAGTGGCAGTCTATCAGGGTGCACAGCCTGGGCCTGAGTGCCACAGGCTGTGTGAATAATTAAATCCACGCATCCCTGACATCAGCAGTGCAACAGGAGAGCATTTTCTCTCCCCAGGAGATTGTCAGGAATTAGAGATAAGAGGAAGCCAAAATATCCAGGTAGGAGCACCAACAGGGAGGAGCAATCCAGGAGTGGGGGGGAGGGGGACGGGGCAGGAAGCCAGTTCTTGGGAGGCTGGGATGTCTGAGGCAGGACTCTGGGCAGGGTCTCCCAGAGGGGTCTGGGGAGGACTGCGTCAGGGGCTGTGTTATGAAACAGACGCTCAGTATGAGCTGCGGCACAAGGACAAGGTCCGATCTTACTTAGGGGGTGGATATAACAAAAGGTCAGTTTACGTGACGCGAGCAGCCAGAGTGGCTTAGCGTTTATGGGCCTTAAATTTCCTATAACTTGGGGCTGGCATGGATTGGGGGTGTCTGATCCTGCAGGAACTGGGAGAGGTGGGACCCTTAATCACACAGGGGCTTTTCTGTGTTTTTGCAGAGACAGCTGCTTCCATGGATGAGAAGCCTGGAAAAGATCAAAAGTTACCCACCACCTTGCACAAAGATGCACGTGCAAAGGTCTTCATTCGCTGTAAAGAGCTGAAGGCTCTCAGGGGAAAACTCGTCACTCCTGGCTAATGAGGCCCCGGCAGATGACAATGTGGAAAATAAAACAAAGAAAGGCCAGCCTCCTCTCCCAGAGGCTGGTAGGCATGTTGGTGGTAAATACCGGGTCCTCTCTTACTCTCTTGCTGGGAGTATAAACTGTTACAACCAAACTGGAAAACAATGTGGCAGTCTCTCCTAGAGCTAAACATGTGTGTCTTCTATGACCCAGCAATCCCACTCCCAGGAATATGCCCAGTAGAAATGTGCACACACGTTTACTAAAAGACATGGATGAGAACATTCACAGCAACAGCATTTGTCATAGCCCCGAAGTAGCAACCACCCAAATGCCCGGTGACAGCAGAATGTCTAGGTACTCTGTGGGCTCTTGTACAGTAGAATACTATGAAGCAATGAAGTACAACATGCAACAACATGGCTGAATTTCACAAAAATAATGTTGAGCCAAGGAAGCCAACGCAAGGGTACAGGCTGCCTGATTTCATTTACATAAAGCAAACAGTCAAAACCTATGGTGAATATGCTGAAAACCACCCACTTCTGCACTTTAAATAGGCAAATTGTATGGAGTGTGAGTTATATCTCCACTAAGCTGTTATTTTTTTAAAACTGTGGTATTAGAAGTCAGGATAGTTGTTATCCTTGGTGAGGAGTAGTGACTAGGAGGGGGCCTACTGGGTGCTGGCAATGTTTGGTTTCTCGATTTGGGTGCTGGTTACAAGGGTGTGTTCAGTTGTGATGATTCTGTGTACCTTAGAACCTGTGCGCTTCTCTGTATGTATGCTATACTTCAATAAAAATAACCACAAATGAAGCAGGGCTGGTCTGGCGGGGCTCAAGTGCATGGGGATGGTGAGCTGGATGTGCTCTCTCTCTTCAGAAAGGCCCCGACTGCCACCAGAGTCCCCCCAAGAGGACCCTGCAAGAGTTTATGAGGGTGGGGCTCCCCATTCATTAGTGAAGCCTCACCTGCAGGGCCCTGGAGTAATTCTCAGAGAAGAAAGTAGGGCAGGTCCACCAATCGCTTCTATTCCCAGGGCTTGGCTCAAGTGGGCAGGTGTGGCCTGGGAGGCCAGAGTATTCAGTAGGCCTGGCGGCATCCTTGCCTCAGCAGAGGCTGGGCCATGGCTACTGTGACTCCTCACAGCTCAGCCTTCCGGGGGTCTGATCTGTTGCGTCTGGACTGGGAAGGAGGCATATCCTCAGGGAGACCTTAAGGGACATCTGCCTGAGGTGGGCCAGCCTCTGCCTGCCTGGCAGCCCCAGCCAGGCTCTTCAGTTGCTGCCTAACAGCCGGAGCACTGGAGCCCCCAGGAAGATGGATCCCAGGGGGAGTGCACTGAGCATGGGAGAGGGGCTCCCTGAGAACCCCAAGTAGAACACAGGTGAGATTTTAAGGTACAGGGCCAATGGGGATTTGAGGCAGTGGGCCAAAGTAGGACATAGGACTGCTGCCACTGGTGGACTCCTTTCACCCAGGGAGCATTAGAGGCCAAATCCTTTATAACTCAGACAGTACAGAGGGCTGCTGCCAGGGCCAGGGACTTCTGACCCTCAAGATGCTGATTCAACTCTGCATTTGAAAAAAGTCTTCATAGATGAATCTGATGCACAGCTGGATGTAGAGACCGCATGGATAAGTATCAATCACTTATTCATTCAACAAACAATTGCTGGCCAGCTACTCTCATTCCAGGTCAAGGCCAGGCTCTGGGAAAGCAGAAGAATACAGTCAGGTCTTGCCCTTAAGGAGCCCATAGTCTGGTGTCCAGGGAGAGGCCTGCGTATTACAGATAATTACAACACACAGGGATGACAGCAATGACAGGATTCTGGAGCACAGAGAAAGGGTGAAAGAACCTATTTGTGACTCTTTTGGTGAAACATAATTCCTCCTGATTCATTTGTTCCACAGGTCTGAATTTTTGTATTTTGCATTTAGGGACATAAAGTAGCTCAGGCCCAGCTCAGTAATTCTTAAATATTGTCCATGATAATTCACTCTGAAAAGAGGGCCTACCACCAGTATCTTTCAAGCTGTTTTTAAAAAGAACAAGCTAGGAAAGATAATAAAAGATAGTTAACTATGTCTGTTTCATAACTCTAGCATTAAAATCATTTAGAATAGGCATATCTATTTTTCACAATTTTGGGGAAATTAATTTAGCTTATCATACATAAAGCAGTCCCTCAGACCTACCCCCCCAACACGCACACCTCCTGCCCCACACATGTACAATAACAAGCTCCAGCTAATTCTCCTCTTCCTCTAGGTCTGTACTACATGACATAAAAATATAAAAATAAAATCAGTTCCTGGCCTGGGTGCCTCAGTAAGTGATGTGATCAGCAAAATAGGCTTAAATGCCTCCTTTTCCATAATCATAGAAATCTATGACATTTAGCCTGAAATTTCCTATTTTAGTTGCCACAGTGGCCCCTTCAAGAGCACCCTTCTCCTTTGAGCAATACAGCAGGAGCACCCTGTTCATGTGGATCTAGTCCAGAGCAGCCCCAGAAACAGAGGAAACCACCGAGGAAGGCACTTTCCCCAAACAGAAGCATTACCTTGGTCCCGTGGTAGAAATCGTCCACGCATGTGGCGTTCATGAAGGTCTGGTGGAAGTGGGTGCTGGTGTCGATGCCTCCAGGGATCACCAGTTTCCCAGTGGCATCAATCACCTTGGCCCCTCCGGGGATCATGAGCTCACGGCCCACCTGCTGGATGATGCCATTCTCAATGTAGACATCAGCCTCGTGGGTGCAGTCATCATTCACAACCTTGCCTCCCTTGATGAGAATCCGCACACTGGCTGAATTGGCAAGCATGTTCCTGTGAAAGGTGAGAGGGGGCACTGGTCAAGGTCAAAATTCCTTTTCACTGTCACCAAGGTCCCACCCTTTCCTGTGAGAGCCCAAACTCCATGGGCAGAGTAAGTGAGCAGGGATGGGGAGGAAGTTTCTCCACAGCCTGAGGACACTGGTCCTATAGCCAGCTGGGGTCACAAGCCTCCCACTGACCTCACAGCAGGACTCATTGGGAATCATGACACCACAGCAGTAAGGGTGAAGCTGGGGCCCAAAGAAACATCAATTTTCACCTTCTCAAGAAGTTGTGGTGGTTCTAAAGCATTTTCATATCTCTTGTCTCATTTTATTCCTAAATCAACCCAAGAAGTGGCATTTTATAGACGAGAAAACTGAAATTGCTAATAAGGAAGTTATGGCTAGTAAGTAGCCAAGTCAAACCCAGACGTCTTGTATGACCAATGTCCCCACTATACCATATGGTCCTGAAGATATCAGAGGCTCCTGGGACGTGTCTCAGAGAGCCAAATTTTCCAAGCCTCACAGCTGCTTAATTCATGTCATTCTTCAGATGGATTCTGATTCAGTTCACCCTCCTATGTTTGTCTCAAGAAGTCCACGACCACACTGAAGCTCCACAGCTGGCTGCCCATTGATAAGCTCATCTGATATGCTCAAGTCCCACCCCCAAGATTCAGCTTTATTTGGTCCAGATTGCGTCCCCAGAATCAACTTTTCAAAAGCCATAGAACTCTACCATACACTTAAAGAGGAATTAACCCCAATCTCTTCCAGAAAATAGAGAAGGAAACCTTCCCAAGTCAGTTTATGAAGTCAGTACTGCCCTGATACCAAAGATAGAGAAAGACAGTACAGAAAAAAAAACAAACAAACAAACTATAAAGTAATATCCCTCATGAATGTAGATACAAAAATTTCTAACGAAATATCAGCAAACAGAATTCAGCAATATGTAAAAGGATTAAAGAATCCCACTAGGCAAATGGAATTACTTCCAGGGATGCAAAGCTTGCTCAATATTTGAAAATCAATCAGTGTAATCCACCATATTAACAGGCTAAAGAAGAAAAAAATCACATAATCATATAAATTGATGCAGAAAAGGCACTGGACAAAATTCAACACCATCCATGATAAAAAAAACTCTCAGGAAAGTAGGAAAAGAAGTTAACTTCCTCAAGTTGATAAAGAACATCACCAGGGACTTCCCTGGTGGTGCAGTGCTTAAGAATCCGCCTGCCAATGCAGGGGATATGGGTTGGATCTCCCATCCGGGAAGATCCCACATGCCACGTGCTGCAACTACGGAAGCCTGTGCACCTAGAGCCCGTGCTCCCCAACAAGAGAAGCCACTGAAATGTAAAGCCTGTGCACTGTAACGAAGAGTAACCCTTGCTCAGCGCAACTAGAGAAAGCCCACACGCAGCAACGAAGACCCAACACAGCCAAAAATAAATAAATAAAAAAAATTTTAAATTAAAGAACATCACCAAAAAACCTATAGCTAATATCAGAATTTATGAAAGACTGAATACTTTCCCCCTAAACTGGGAATAAGGCAAGGATGTCTACTCTCACCACTGTTATTCAACAAAAGAGTTCTAGCTAGCACTATAACAAAAGAAAATGAAATAAAAGGCATATAGACTGAAAAGGGAAAAATAAAACCATTCTTATTTGCAGGTGACGTGATGGGGGCTATGCAGAAAATCTCAAAGAATCTACAAAAAATCTCCTAGAACAAATGTCAGTTCAGCAAGGTCACAAGGTACAAGATCAACATACAAAAAGCTATTGTTTTTCTATATACTAGCGATGAACAAATGGACACACAAAAAAACTGAAATACTTAGGTAGAAATCTAAGAAAATATACAGGATTTGTATGCTGAAAACTACAAAATGCTGATGAAAGAAACCAAAGAAATAAATAAGTGGAGAGACATACAACGTTCATGGATTGGAAGACCCAGCACAGTAAAGATGTCAATTCTCCCCTAATTGATATATACGTTTAATGCAGGTTGATTTGGCGACTATCTTGACCATTCAGTATCTGAACAGAAATGATTTTTACTTAGGCTTAGAAAATATAGGACACAATCTGACCGGGGGAGGGAGACTACACCACTGCAGTGTCTCTGTGGGCTCAATAAAGCCCACCTTTCTACACGGTAAACTTATTCTTCAGGATCCAATCAATTGTTCCCTCTTCTGAGAAGCCTTCCCCAACTCCCTCTGTACCTTCATGAGGCACTGGAGTCTATCTCCACCTCTGGACTAAGTCCTCAAAGTCAAAGGCGTAGCAGCAAACAGCGTTTCTGCCTGGTCCTCATCCCCAGCATCCAGTATAGGAAACTCAAAACTGTTCACAAATGAAGTTTTGGCTGCATCTACTTGTTGCATCCTGACAATCAAATGGTTTAAAGCAACAAGCGGTAGGCCAATTCCATATTTGTTGTCCAGGATATTTGGCAACTCTATGTCCAGGATAATGCTCAACTTTCATCCCTTTTCTAATACAGCACATTACTGTGAACAGAGCAAAGGAAGCGACATACTGTCTCTCATCCTTGTCATTTCATTTTGCCTGCCACTAGGCAAAGTACAGGAAGGCTTTGTCCCAGGATGAAAAGGTGTCACAATCCGTTGAAGGAATAGCTCTTGTAAGGAAATAAGTCAACTATCTGGAGAGCTTAGCCTGCTCTCCTGGACACACTTGGTTAGGCAGTTGTTTTTTTGTCAAGTTGACCAGATTGGAGTGCATGGAATCTCCACACCAAGAAAGTTTACAGTACCTATTCAGCCTCAACTATCAGGTCCTCCTGCTCTCAGGAGAGGGTGGTCTGTTGGGGGCAGTGTTGGGAAACAAGACAGGTGGCTGGGAGTGAACCCTGTTCCCTTACACAGCAACATTGTCCTCCATGAACATCTGGTCCCTGCCAGGTATCATTCTGGCCTTTGGGGAGGAGGGGTCCCTCCCCTAGTATGGAAGGCCCTGGGCAGAGGCAGTGGGGAGGAGTTGGGTAGGCCATAAGGATGGGGGGACAGGTACAGTCACAGCAATAAGCCCATTGTCTGAAGCTGGAATGAAGCTGACATATTACAGGGGAACTTTTGTCCTAAAATCTGAAAACTGGAATTTTAATTTAATACACAATAATCAGGAAATGAGTTTGGTTCTTAAGTGATGGACAAAACCATTCTGGCCAAAGGAAGTTCAGAAAGCCTCAGAGATGCAGTCTCTCTCTCTCTCTCTCTCTCTCTCTCTCTCTCTCTCGTTACAAAGCCAAGGCCAGGTGTGACCACAAAAGGAGAGATGCAAGTTCTCAGAGGGAAATGATGGTAAGACACACACAATCCTCTGTGCAAATATATAATCCTCACCTTTTAAAGCAGCTTTAAGTAAGAGGAGAAATAGGAATATTTATGCTGGGAAATTGCTGCATAGTCATTATGTCAGTGTGGTAAATGAGGATATTGATTTGCTTATTAATCCAGAACACATGCTCATAGCACACACCTGGAGGGTGGAGACCCTGAAAGGGTGATACGATAATGATTTATGGGGGATTCTTATCTGAGCTTTGATGCTGGAATCAGAAGCCAAGGGTGTTTTCTTCAGTAGAAATAAGAAAACAGCTTTTAGTAAGCTAACACCCCGTGCCTGGAATTTAATTCACATGGCAGCCCCGAGAAGTAGGAACAAGGCAGGAAGTATTAGCCTCGTTTTAAGATGAGGAAGTAGGTAAGTGGATAAGACTCTGAGCTCCCAATTCAGGGGGCCCGGGTTTGATCCCTAGTCAGGGAACTAGATCCCACAGGCATGCGGCAACTAAGAGTTTGCATGCCACAACTAAGGAGCCCAAGTGCTGCAACTAAGGAGCTGGCGAGCCTCAACTAAGGAGACAGCCTGCTGCAACTAAGACCCGGAGCAACCAAATAAATAAATACTAAAAAAAAAAAAAAGTCTACCTTTAAAAAAAAAGAAAAGAACAGGTATCCCATTAAAGGTCACACCACTCCAGCATGGAAGGATGGGCTTCATACCCAGGTCTGTGACTTAAAGGAAAGGTTACCAAAGTTAACTCTGGGTAGAAGAGTTTCAGGTGATTTTTATGTTCTTGATAGTTTTCTATATTTTTCAAATTTTATACAATAAACTTGTATTACCTTTTAGAATCTGAAAAGTTGTGTCAAGAAGGTTTTTTTGGGGCTTCCCTGGTGGCGCAGTGGTTGAGAGTCCGCCTGCCGATGCAGGGGACGTGGGTTCGTGCCCCGGTCCGGGAAGATCCCACATGCCGCGGAGCGGCTGGGCCCGTGAGCCACGGCCTCTGAGCCTGCGCGTCCGGAGCCTGTGCTCCGCAATGGGAGAGGCCACAACAGTGAGAGGCCCGCGTACTGCATAAAAGAAGGTTTTTTTGTTGTTGTTGTTGTTGTTCTTTTTAAGCTACAAAGAAGGCAGAAGGAATCCAATGTGACCCTTCATTCAGGTCCAGTGAGCTCAGTCCCTCCCTCTGCCACTCTCCATGCAAGGAGATGAAAAAAGAACCTGCTACCACTAGCCATAACACTGAATCCTTCTCTAGAACCCTTGGGCTGCCACCATGACTCACCCGGTCATTTTCCACTTCCTTGTTGGAAATCCCTGAAGGCTAACCAGGCTCTGAAAAGGCTGGGCTCCCTCAACAATACTGGGGAGTCCTGGAACCTCTCTGGTCTGGAGATCCCATTCACACAGCCTGACCTAGTCCTGGAAATCCAGGCTGGACTGGACTCCCAGGACTACCTTAGAGGGAACTCATTCTCAGAACTTGGAGGGTGCTGTTAATGATCTTAACAATTAGTAAACACCTACTGTATAATGGGCCCCTCCCTAAGCCCATCAGATACATCATCTCATTTGATCTTTACAGTACCCTGAGATAGGTGCCATTATTGTCCCCAGTTTTACCATGAGGAAGCTGATGCTTAGAAAAGTTAAAGGAACTTCCTCAAGGTCACA